ACACACACACATACACACAGACGCACGCTCAGCTTGTGTCAAGTGGACTGGGTGTAACAAGGATGCTGGTTTCTTTTGGCTCACCGCATGAGCGGGTCGGTGATGAACTGCTCTGGTGTGCCGCCCTTGGGAGAATTGCAACCCACGTGAACGTGTGTCTTCCACTCATCCATGCACGTCCGTCCAGATCGCGCAGGCGAATTGGCGAGTGTGTGCGCATGCGTGGTCGTGTGCCGGTGCTCGCGCGGGCTGACCACACGCCTGGCTCTGGCTTCAGGCCTGCGTGCTTTTAGGTGCGCCTGCGTGCGTCCGCGTGAGTGGGGGCATTTGCGTGCCGCCCACCCACCGACCCACTGGCCCGCCGCTGCCGCCGCCGCCGCCGCCTCAGGCCCGGAGTGGCCCAGATCGACCGCCCGACGGGCCGCCGGGCCGAGTAGACCTGAGGCGCGAATCATGCGGGCGCTTCAGGCGCAGAGGATTACATAAACTGGGACGGAGAGCAGCAAATTTCACAACCGGCCTGCCCACCTCGGAAATGCGCTCGTCTGCCTGCATTTGCATTCCGGGCCGCCACTTTGATTCGCCATTGCGTCAAGTCGGCTGTCTGCCCGTCTGCTCGTGTGTGCAGACGGCCGAGTGTCTGTTAGTCTGTAGGCCGCTGCTGCCGCATCCAGCCCTACAGCCCCAGAGAGAGGCTTTCTTCTGGCTCTCGTCGCCTAGCCGTCTGGCTGCCTGAAGGGCCGATGCTCTTTCAATGCGTGATGATGAATGATTCATCACCTTTGCCTGTCTCTCTCTCTCTCTCTCACCCTCAGCTTCTCTCAGCCCCTCTCTTGCATGTCTTGCTCTGCTCCGACCAGCTTCGAATAGACCTCTCTTGCCTGTGATGCGCCAGACCCTGTCTCTGCCTGTCCGGGCAGAAAAGCGAGTTCACTTTTGGCGAAGGCAAGTTGTGAGCAGGCCTGGGCCTCTCCTTCACTCCAGCCTTAGCTTCCAGCAAGCATTGTGGACCCCCGTTTGGTCTGTTGCTCTCCAATCCACGAGGATGTTTACCGTATCGACTACCCGCCTGCTCGTTGTCCATGGCGTCGTCCTCCTCCCGGTCCACCACCTCGGGCGTCAATGTCATGTTGGTCCGGGACCTTCGAGGCGCACAATGTAGGCCCGTGGCGTCCAGTTTAGCCTCGGATTTACACAGCTCCGCCTGGACCTTAGTCGACGTGTTGGGACGGGCTGCCGCCGTGAGCCACTTCGATGTTTTTTCTTCGGTGAGTCTCATCCGTCGGCCGGATTTTCTTAACTCAGCGCCTCTTGCCACACTTTGCGGCGTCCGCATTTCCCTTTTTTCACCCAAATGCCGTTTTACCCAGCCGTCGTGACCACCCGAGGCCCGGCAACAGCCGTCTGATGCTGCGATTGGTTGAAAGGTGACCCCTCATGTCGGAGAGTTTAGGCGTCGTCGCGAGTCCTCTTTTTACGCCTCGCCCGGCGCATGAGCTGGACGACTTGATGAGGCCTCTGTGTTGCGGGAACCCCGTTTTTTTGGCTTATCCGATGGGATTGGAGGGAGAAAGAGGCGAGCAAACGAAGGAGAAAACGTCTCACATCGCAGT